AGCTGCGTGTGCTGATCCGTCAAACTGGGATAATATTTCGCAGGGCCCCCCAGGCCCCATTTGGGAAAAACTCAACAATGTGGTGTGGGAAGCCAGTGCGCGCTTGTACTGCAAAGAGCCACAACACCGCAGGCAACCCCAAGACTTGCAACAAGCCAGTGATGAGTTGCTCGAAGCCCGCAAACATGTATCTGAACTTCCTAGCCGCCATATTAATACAAACAATTTCATGCATGAAGATTTACAGTTGCTTTTACAGACTTGGAGAGGATTGGTGCGCAAACGTCGGTGCCACAAACGGTTGGATGCTCTCGTAAAACAGCACAAACAGCTCAGAATTCAAGCCATGGTTGACGAATTCAACTACGCATGGGGTAGGCGAGATTTGGCTCACATGTGATCTGTTTCCCGGCTTCTGTCGGACCCAAAAAGCGGAACTACCGGTTGCCACACGGCGAACGCCCCAACAAAGCAACTTGGTCTGCTTTTCTGGCACAACCAGGACCTTCAGGCGGCCGCGCCGCTCATGCAGTTTCTTTTGCAGAATATTCCCACCAAGAAGACACTGTTGACGAACAAGGGGGAACCCCCCTGACTGGATATGTCGTATGGCGTGCGAAGACTGGAAAGGTTTGCAGAAGGCTGTTCATCACCTACGGCTTCGTAAAGCAGTTCCTGAATGGTCATGTCCTGCAGAAATTTGGCGACAATTATATATTTCATCCCAACTACTATAGAACAAGCTTATTCCATGGGGTCGGCTACCAGCCCCCAGCCACCACGGCATTCAAATTTTGGGTGCTTCAATTTTTGCAATCTATTCGGAGATTTGATCAACCACCAGTCTTGTGGCATCGCAGCTCCACCACACAACTGGACAAACGAAACGGAAAAACTCTACGTCTCATCAATTTGTTGGATCCACTTGGGAGAGGGTTTTACAACCATTTGTGGTCTCGATGCACCCCCAAATCACCTAGAGCGTTCGCTGCCGGGTATGCTCGCCAGAAGAACCGCTTGGAAACAATATTTTAGCAGCGTTGTGTTGGGCACCGTTTGCGTCAAGCAAAAATTTCACATCTTACATCATTTTTTGACTGTGCTAATGCTTTTTACAGTGTGGATTTTGCGCGTTTGGACAAGGCAATTCAAGATGTTTCATTTCCTGCCGATTCTAATTTGCTACGTCGACGTGTCCGGAGGGCAGTTGTACAAGTTCATGCATGTGATGGGGCTCTTGATTTGCAAAAAGGGTCTGGAACCTTGCAGGGAGACGGTTTGGCTGCACAACTTTTCTTGGAACCATATCACCCCATTCTGGATGCCATTCAGAGCAAACTACAGCAGCTGGACACTGCGGGTCTTTTGGTTGCTCATGATCCTATTGCAGACATTGATGTCAATGTATCCTTGTCCTCCTATGCTGATGATGTTGCTGGCAAACTTTGTGGAAAGACGCCCCAAGAGTTGGCAAATCTATCGGTTTCTATTAATCAATGCATTGATACTGAGTTTGCTCGCATTGGCCTGGGGCAGAACCATAACAAACAAGAACATGTCACTTTTTTTGCAAAGGCTGGAGCGCGCGCTCACTACCGAGCTATTTTTTGTGACAACTTATTGGCAGGAAAAGTTTGTAGGCAAGCTAGGTACTTGGGCCCTCCATATACATTCAATGGCTCTCACGCTTCTGAAGTGGACGAACGGCTTGTGGCTGCGAAACTTGGCTGGGTGGCTTGCGGGCGCTTCTGGTCACGATTGCATAGTGCTCACAAAGGAAAACTTTGCGTTTTTCGTGGTATGGTTTACACTCCCGTATTGGCAGGGTTGGAAACTTGCGTTTTGGACAAAGCTGGACGCATGCGTTTTGCGGTGTGGACACAAAATTATGCAGAGGAAAGCATGTCGCAAGGTCGAACAAGATGATGGAACAATTGAATACAAAGCGCAACCCTCCTCTGCAGTTTTTGCTTTCCTGCGACTCTTGCCATGTAAAGATGAACTGTTTATTCGACGTGTTCGATGGTATCAATCCATGGCCAGGTCCCCTTCATTGCATTCAATTTGGTTCGCATGTATGTTTGGCATTTTTTCTTTTGAGCCTCATCCAGTTGTCGAAGGTATTGGCAGTATTTCTTCTCATGCGCATCCATGGGCACAGCAATTCCATAATGATGTTTGTAGATGGGCTGAGATTGAAGGTGGTGATACACTTGTTTGGCTTTCGGCCGGGCAGCCGCTGCGGCTGTTCACAGATTTGCGTGATGATTTTTTGCGTTTGGATGTTAGATGTTTTAGAAGGATCCCGTTTGGTGTGGCCGTTCCGCCACCAGAGTTTCAACCTTCCCCGGACCCCTTGCCCCAGGGTCTTCTCATTCAAGAAGAAGAAAATGCAGAAACTGATGACCAATTTTCATGCACATGTCTCAAAGCAGATGGCGAACAATGTGGTGCGAAATTCAGCACCGCACGAGGCTTGGCAGTGCACATCTCTAACACGCAGGGCGGCACACATGGTGCAATCCCCGTCACCAACCGATGCGTTTTTTGCAAACATGTGTTTTGCAGCCTGCGAACAACAACGTTTCGGACCGCTGTTCGCGCGCGAATTCAATTCGCGCGCGAATTCAATTCCATTTTCAGCAAAGATTTTGACATCTCTGCATGTAACGACGTCAATATATCTATATGCATACGTATCCATATGTCTATATATATATATATATACAGATACAAACCGATATAAATATATGTAATATGTATATATAAATGTTTCGCGTGCAGATTTGATTGTGGAATCCAACAACGTGATCAAGTCCAAAGGAACGTCATCACTGCCCCACCCCACCCACCCCACCCCACCCCAATGCGTGGCGTAGCATCAACATCGTGATCAAGTCCAAAGGAACGTCATCACTGCCCCCACCCCACCCCACCCCACCCCAATGCGTGGCGTAGCATCAACACGTGATCAAGTCCAAAGGAACGTCATCACTGCCCAACCCCACCCCACCCCAATGCGTGGCGTAGCATCAACACCGTGATCAAGTCCAAAGGAACGTCATCACTGCCCCACCCCACCCCATGGTGTCGCGAAACCCTGCGTACACTGGCAAATATGACATAAAAACCGCCGTACCCTGCAGTACTGCGTCTCTTTCGGCGCGCGCGGACAAGGGTCCGGAAGGAACAACAAAGAACCACATCCGTCACAGTCTCCGGGCGGGACACTGCACAGGGCAGGGTAGCCAAACAGTTTTCACTCCACAGCCTCCAAAGAGTTTGCAATGTACTTTTTGCCATTGGCAAGCTTCAGGTTTGGATGCTTTGCTGGATCATTTGGCGCGCCATGCGCAGCGACCTGGGGTTCAAGTTGAGTCGCGTCATTTGTTTCAGTCGCTGCACCATGGACCAGTGGGAGTTGAACAGAGGCTCTAGTGAGCAGCCTGCCAAAAAAATGGCGGTGGGGCATGACAAGCAAGTGAGCAAAGCCCTTCACCTCATTGGCAGGCTCTGCTTGAAGAATGCCTTGGAAGTTAGAGAGCTTCAGGCAGCAGTGTTCATCACCTTCCTCGTGCCCAAAAAATCCGACTACGTTCAGGCGCCCTTGGCAGCTACCAAAGAGTTTGCTGAGAACGCCAAACGTGCCAAAGAAGGGAAATGTCCCATGCCTCCAGGCAAGCCGCATGTCCATGCTTGGGCTGCGATCCTTCGAGTGGCCCTTGAAGACACAGCTCTTGGCGATTTTGACAAGCAGAATATCCAAAGTCACCGCAACAGTTCCACAGATCCTGAAGCCATGTCCCAGGCAGTTTTTGTGTGCAAACTGCACAAGGCTTATGACAGAGACAGCATGAAAGAGTTCTTCTCAGTCCATCGAGATGTGGAGCCTGCTCTCAAAGCAGTCATGAAGGGCATCACCGCACATGGCGGCAAACAAAAGGTAGGACAAGCTGCCCGAGCCGGTTTGGAACGTAAAGTCCAAGACGTGATTGATGAGCTGACGGCTGTTTTAGGTGACAAGTAGCGCTACTCCTTTTTTGCAAAGGGTGTTGCACCTGGTAGGTTCACTTAGTGATTCCTTGTATCACTGCGTTCGTGTAGACACGAGGAGTTGCTGCGGGTGACCGTCCCCACGGTGCGTTCATCGCAGCGGGGCTGCGATCAGCAACTAGTGTTCATGCAGTGCGACCGTACTGCTTGCTCAGCTTAGATGAGACACACCTGAATGCTGCGGAAGAAGAAGATTAGATTACATGACAGCAGCTTAGATTAGGTTACATTAGATTAGACTACATTACATGACATTAGATTTCATTAGATTCCATTAGGTTAGATTAGGTTACATGAGGTTGGATTACATTACATTACAAAAGATTTAATTAGGTGAGATTACATTACAGTAGGTTAGATTAGGTTACATTAGATTTGACTACATGACAAAAAACATTAGATTTCATCAGATTAGATTACATTACAGTAGGTTAGATTCGGTTACATTAGGTTAGGTTACTGTACATTACAGTAGATTTCATTAGATTACATTACAGTAGGTTAGATTAGGTTACACTAGGTTAGATTAGATTGTATTGGATTAGATTCTATGACATTAGATTACATTAGACTAGATTAGATTGTATTAGATTACATTGCATTGCATTACATCCACAACACTCACAGTGAATATTGTCAAAACCGATGCACCTGGTTGAATGGCTTTTCATGTTTAGCACAAGCCTGGCGAAAGAATCCACGACATCATCGTCAGTGGCCAATTGAGTTGCAGAACCCTTTCATGTTTAGCACAAGCCTGGCGAAAGAATCCACGACATCATCGTCAGTGGACAATTGAATTGCAGAACCATGAAGATTAAAGATTGATCATGATCTGAAGCGTGGGGCTCAGTCATGGGTGAAAAGGTCGTGTTGCCTGCTCCACTGGAGGATTTACTTCTTTCAGTGGTAAGCGGAGCCGTGCTCGGTTTCGAAGTGTAGGTGCCATGGCGACCATCGATGAGAAGAGCCGCTTGGAAACCTTTGATGGGTCGAACCCAGGCATGTATCGTCTCTGGCAACGACGCGCTCAACTGATGATAGCTGGGCTACCCACAACAGTTCCAAAGGAGAAATATGGGCCACGACTCATGGAGTATATCAAAGGAGAGGCTGAAGCCTTGCTAGAAACCATACCCGTTGAAGAGTTGATCAAGCAGGATGGCGACAAGGGAATTTGGCTCGTTCTAGATGAAAAGTATGGACCACAGCCAAGAGATCTCCTTCAACATGCGCTGAAGAACTACCTGTATGACTTGCACGTGAAGCCCGGTGAGACCTATCTCCAGTTCATGGCTAGGCATGATGCTGCAATCAGGCTGTTGAAAGAGCAGTCGATTGAGCTGCCTCCACCAGTGATGGGGTTTCTGTTGATGAAGAAACTCAAATTGGACCAGTCGCAGGAGAGCATGGTGCTCACCCACACGAAGGGTGGCATGGACTTCAAGGATGTGGTGGCCGCGGTTCGCGGCATCTTCCCGGAGGGCAAGGGCACGGTGAGGAGCAAGGAAGTGTTTCAGGCGGATGATGATTGCCAAAATTGTGGTCACAAGGAGATCGCAATGGTTGATGAGGAGAATGACCTGGCTGAAGTGGCGCAGATGATCGCCGATGAGAGCCAGGAGCTAGATGTCGATGAGGAAGAGGCTTTACCTTTGAAACTTATCTTGATGTCCGCAAGCGGCTTCGAGATCAAAAGACCAGTCGTGGATTTCAGAATTCTCGTGGAGGCCCTGATCAAGGACAGTGGAAGCTATCTGGCACTGTGAAGGGCAAGTTGGAACTGCTGAAGGCGAGAACGGCATGTCACGTATGCAAGCAGAAAGGCCATTGGAAGCGTGAGTGTCCACATCGAACCGGTGGGCGCGGGGAGTCTTCTAGTCGAGCTGGTGCTGCTTCAGGCTCATCAAGCAAGGGCGCGTCGGAGGTAAATGTCGTAGAACGCCATGGTCGTGAGGTACTTCTGGCCGACGATGTTTGGGAGATGTTCAAGGTGCAGGCGTCACTACATCAGGGAGCCCACACCTGAGCGAGAGGCTTTTGTGACGGAAGTTTTTTCCAACGATCCAGGAGAGACAAACCATCCTGAGGTCACGGTAGAGGACCCAATTCTCAGTGAGTGTGCAGTGCCTGACACAGCTTGTCGACGCACGTTGGTAGGAGCATACACATTGCAGGGGCTGGAGAGGCATTTGAGACGTCAGGGCATGAGTGTTTCTCGTAGGGCTGAAATTTCGGAATTTCGTTTTGGAAACTCTGGAACCTTGACCTCTCATGAAGCTGTCATCATTCCAGCCAAACTAGGGTCACGGAAGTTTTTGATCAAAGCTGCTGTTTTGCTAAGTAGTTCAACTCCTCTTCTCTTGAGCAAGGAACTTCTCCGTCAGTTGGATTGTGTTTTGGATTTGTCTAGTGACCGGTTGAAGGGTTTTGGTGATTGGTATGATCTGGAGAACACTGGACGTGGCCACTATGCTATCAGGTGCTTTGATTTTTCTAGTGAATGTTTGGTTGGTGATGTTCTGTGTGATGTTTTTGCGGGAAAGAAAGAGTATCGAATTGATGAGCTTGAGTGCGACTCGCAAAGCGAGATCAGGCTCAAGACTAGGTTTGCGCGGTGTAGTGTAGATCAGGTACCAGATTGCTCTCATGACGCAGCGAAGGGGTCTGAGCCAAGAAGTTCTGGAGATGCTTCGGAACGTTCAAACCCCGGAGGAGGATCAGCAGGCCTGGAAGAGCTCAACCAAAGCCTTGGATTTGATGGACGACCTGTCGGACGACGGGGAGGACAACCCCATCAGCGGGCTGATGATCATCAAAGAGGGCAAGTACAAGGGTGGCAAGAACGGACTGGAGCTGAAGGCGATCTATGTGATCTATGTGACGGACGAGCCCCACTGCGAGTGGGTTCGTCATCACATCGACAAGAACAGTGGCAAGGACATGCAGCGTCTGGGGATCTACATCCTCTGCCGCGACCAAGGGGCAATCACTGCCGGAGGAGGGGGGCAATTTGGTCAGCGCAAGGCATGCCAAGGCGAAGCCAGCTCCCAGGGGTGTCAAGAATGCCCGAGCATCCAGCGAAGCGAGCATGGAGTGGTCCTATGTGGAGAATCAGGGGCACGAGATTGTAATCATGGAAATGATGAACGGCCTTCCCATTCGTCAAGTGAATCCTCTGCAGCCCGACCACCATGTGGAGGAGCATGGACTGATGATGGAGATGCAGGCCATTCTGAGTGCCACGCTGGGAAATCCCAGCATGTAGGAGAGCAGACCATGTCTAAGAAAAATCGTGTGAAACTCCTCAAAAACATAAAAGGATGGTGTGATGAGATGTGATGAGAACGATCCTAGTGTTGTGGATTGTGCTTGCAAGGAGCCTGAGGGAGGAACACATGAGATTTTTGTGGTGAATCTGCAATCGAAGCCTGATTTTGCCGAGGTGTTTTCTAATCCCAGGTTGTTGCCAGCTGCAGAGCAGCGAGGCCTCATTGGATTGAGGTCATACGACGTTGGGCAGAGATGGGACTTCCTGAAGGCTGACCAAAGGAAAGCCTGTCTGGACGAAATTCGACACTATAAGCCCAAGTGTGTTTTGGTTTGCCCACCATGTGGACCATTTTCCACATTGCAGGCGTGTAGTTGGCACAAACAGAAGCGGGATGATCAAAAAAGAAAATTGCTGGAGGGCCGAGTGCTTTTGGAGTTTGCGATGCAAGTTTGTGAGGTGCAGCATGAAGGAGGGCGATTGTTTGCCTTTGAACACCCTGGGGGGGCCGCTAGCTGGAAAGAACCCTGTGTTGAACATGTTCGTGGGTTGCCTGGCGTTTTCACGTTGGACATGGACCAGTGCATGTTTGGGTTGAAGGATCCTGTGAATTTCAAAGCCTATAAGAAACATACTCGTTGGATGTTCAATTTTGAAGAACTCAAGGGTTTGGCTTGTAGGTGTGACCATGGACATGACCACCAGCAAGTCGAGGGTCAAATCAGGGTTGATGGAGTGTGGGTTAATAGGTCACGATGTGCTCAAATTTATTGCCGGAAGTTGGTTGACCAATTCATTTCTGCGTACATCAAACATCAAAAAAACAAAGGTCATGAGGTTTTGGTGGCTGAAGCTCTTCAGGAAGATAAAACTACTTTGCAACGTAGTGTGCGTAGATGTCATGTCAACTTGGGGCACCCATCCAAAGAGCGGTTCTTGCACATGCTCAAGTCGGCAGGGGCGAGCGGGGCTGCGTTGGAAGTAGCTAAGAAGCTGAAGTGCAGTATCTGCGATGTTCATAGGCCGTATCCCAGTCATGCCGTTGCCAAACACAAAAGGGCCCAGGGTTTCAACCAACAAGTCACATGGACACTTTTGATTTGCCGATTTATGAGGGTCGCACCCTGAAAATGTTGACCATGATCTGTGAGGGGACTGGGTTGCAAATTTCTGTTCCACTTTGGAAGGGAGCCCAGACGAAGCATGTGCGTTCGGCATATCGAAAGGGTTGGAAGAGATGGGCTGGAGTGCCGGTTCGGGTTGTGACTGACGGGGGTGGGGTGAATTTGACGATGTTGTTCAGCAGGGGTTTGATGATGATGGTACTTTTGTTGATAAAACTGCTGCGTATAGTCCTGATCAAAATGGTTTGATTGAAAGACACGGCGGAATTTGGAAACAAACGTTTTTGAAAGCTTTTGAGGGATGTCAACCCAGGAATAAGAGTGAGGTCAATGAGCTGGTTGACCACGCGAACAATGCCAAGAACAGCATGATGCGCAAACATGGATATGCACCCTTTCAACATGTCTTTGGGTGCGATTTGCGTTTTCCCCAAGGGCTGTTGGAGGAAAGACCCAATATTCCCTTTCAGTCAGGAGTTTTTCACGGAGATGAGTCTTTGGCTCGAAGCAATGAGATCCGAATGGCTGCCCGGAAAGCCTTGGTAGAAACTGACGACGACCAAAAGGTCCGTCGTGCTTTGAGTCATAGGCCTCGGACAATGAGAGATCAAGAACTGGCGGTAGGTGATTTGGTGTACTACTGGAGAAGATATCGGAATGATAGCAAAGCTGGCCGGTGGAGAGGTCCTGCCCGAGTCATTGGATTCTTCAGTGGGAAGTCAAAAGTTTGGGTATCAGTGGGCAACGAAGTATTACGCTGCGCACCTGAGCAACTCAGGCGCTTGACGGCAGACCAGGAAGCTGCCATCAAGTTTGTCACTGAAGACATGATCAGTGCTAGGCGCCAGTTGTCTGACCGTGGTGCTCAAGTATTCACCGACATCAGCCAAGAGGAGCATCCACCACTGGATGAAGAGGCCATTGTGGAACCAGAGGCTAAGCGAGCCCGTATCCATGAGCCGATGGAGGAGGAGAGCGAAGGCTATCAATCACCCTCAGAAGTTGCTGACAATCCTCATGAAGGAGAAATTGATGAACCTTTGACGGAAGTGCCATCACTGGGCAGCAATCATGGTGATACCACGGTTAGCGAATCTGAAGAGAACGCGCGTCACACAGTTTCTGCCGTGCCAGTGAGGGCTCAGGGATATGGACCCATACGGGGTGCGCAGATGGATCCATCAGAGACACCATTGACAACTGCTATGAGACAAAGCACAGAAATCTTGGATTTGGGAGCTCGCCGGACGGCTTCTGGTCCCTATACAGGCCGACCGCAACCAGGTGAAGACTGCATGGAAGTGACCGTGGTGGAAGAATCAGATAATGTTTGAATCTTTCATCGTGCAGCAGAAGCGCGAGTCTGAACTCAAGGATCGTGACATACAAGAACATGAGTGGGAACAAGTTCTAGCTGGAAAGAGAAAAGAAATTGATAAGCTGACGAAGACCGGATCAATAGTGATCCATTCAGAGGCTGAAGCTGAAAGAATCATAGCTAGTGACCCACCTGAGAGATTCATTGACAGTCGCTTTGTCAAGACACGCCGGGAGAATCCAGACGTGCCTGGCAGTTCTGACATCAAATGCCGATGGGTACTGAAGGGATTCCAAGATCCTGACTTGCTGGATCTACATCGGCAATCACCAACCCTTTCTGCTGATGGCTTAGCCATGACCCTGCAGGTGATTGCGTCAGAAAAATGGGTGCTCTACATCATGGATGTGGAGGGAGCCTTTTTGCAGGGTGATGCAATGAAACGGGAGAAGGGACGCATTTTTGCCAAAGTCCCAAGGGAAGGGATTCCTGGCATTGAACGTAATGCTGTGATCGAATTGCGTAAATGTGTTTATGGATTGATGGATGTCCCTCGAAAATGGTGGGGAAGTCTTACCAGAACTTTGACCCAAACTCTTTCTCTGAAACAAAGCGAGTTAGATCATGGGGTGACCCTGAGGATGATTTTCGTTTGAGCGGTATCATTGCTTTGCATGTTGATGACATGGCATGTGGGGGAACTAAGCGATTTCAAGACGTGGTGTTGGAACGTTTGAAACAAATTTACCCGTTTAAACATTGTAAGAAGAGTCAGGGTAAGTTTTTGGGTCGGTGGCTTGAACAACAAGAGGATGGATCAATTGTTAGTAGTCAAGAGGAGTATGCGAGTAACGTTCAGACGGTTTTCATTTCTAAAGAACGTAGAAAACAGAAGGGTGACACGCTGACCACACAAGAGATGCATCAGTACCGTGGAGTTCTCGGCGCAGCAAATTGGCTCACGGGCAGCACCAGACCAGATCTGGCAGCCCAAACTGCCTTTTTGCAGCAGCGTGTAGCTAGAGCCACCGTTGATGATCTCATCGCTGCCAACCAGCTCGTGAGCAAGATTCGGGATTTCAAACATACCAAGATCACCTACAAGAGCATTCCATTGGAACAAGGGGCAATCCTTGTAACCAGTGACGCTAGCTGCGCTAACACGGACGATCTTGGAAGCCAAGGGGCCTACATGACACTTTTGCTGACAAGAAAATTCGAGGAAGTGAGTGGGCTAGTGTCAGCCCTTTGCGCTGGAAGTCCTGGAAACTGGAGAGGAAGACCCAGTCCACACTAGGTGCTGAGTTGATGTCCTTTTCAAGAGCCATAGCTGAAGGTGACTGGATGAGATCGCTGTTCGCAGAGGCGAGGCAGCATCAATACACCCTTCACAACGACAAGGGATGTCGCCAGCAGCTTCCAATGACTGCCGTGGTCGACAACAAGCCTATCTACGATCACTGTTTGGGTGATGGGATTGTAGTGAGAGACAAAAGAATGGCCATAGACATGCTGGTAGTTAGATCTGATCTTCGCTCTCAGAGCATTCAAATTCGTTGGGTCGATGCTCGTCAAATGATTGTTGATTGTCTGACGAAACTTGGTGCCGGTTCTGACTTTTTGATGTTTGTGTTGAAGTTTGGCCGATACGTCTGTGTGAAGGAAATTGAATCTTTAGAATGGAAAGCTCAAGAGAAAAGGCAGAGAGCCATCAACGCTTCTAAAAAGGGGTGTGTCAAAACCGATGCACCTGGTTGAATGGCTTTTCATGTTTAGCACAAGCCTGGCGAAAGAATCCACGACATCATCGTCAGTGGACAATTGAGTTGCAGAACCATTTCATGTTTAGCACAAGCCTGGCGAAAGAATCCGCGACATCATCATCAGTGGAGAATTGAATTGCAGAACCATGAAGATCAAAGATTGATCATGATCTGAAGCGTGGGGCTCAGTCATGGGTGAAAAGGTCGTGTTGCCTGCTCCACTGGAGGATTTACTTCTTTCAAATATCATTTTGTATACGTGTGTGTGCGTGGGCATGTGAACGCGTGGTCACAGATGAAACCCAACGGGATGGACACAGCGGCATTTGAACCCATGGGGGGAGGTCACAGTTCGACATGATTAATCGTGTCCAACAGGGGGGGCCTAAAACGAGTTCGAAATGAAAGATTATGGAGGCTCTATCCAGCCTGCCCCAATTCATTGCTAAAGCAAATCCAACTCCAGCTGGCAAGCTAGCATCCGTGACCACGTGAAATGATTTTAATATATGATATACCCTTCAGTAAATTAACATAGACCCTGCCAGATAGGGGTTGAAAGACTAGTTTCCACTATAAATTGGTCAGTTTCAGGGTCTATGTTAATTTACCAGAGGGTAATATATGAGCCGAGGAAAGTATTTGGGACATCACGGAATCGACGGGGTGTTTCTACCTCGCTTTACAACCCAAATATGATGGTTTCGACAACGACAAACCGGGGTACTCCCCAAGACTAGTCTTCACTTCACCACATACAAGCCGTCACTGATATGTTTACGTCACTCCACATCTTCTTGCAATCCATGGCGTCGACAGATTCCCCCCAGCCATCTGATCCGGTACAAATAAACTGAGAAATGGAAGTGATCAGAAATCAGAAAAAACAACTCCCAAAACGGGCGGCTTAAAGAGACCAGCCAAGCAACGACTGTCCAGCCAGTTTTCGAAATTCACCTGTGGACACCGGTTGAGCATTGGATGAATCGACAAAGAGGAAGAATCCCGGCTTGCATCAAGTCAAGGTTTCTGACATCTATCTAAAAGATAAAGACTGATAGCGCACACGGGTCTCTTAACTCTCTTCCCTTATTGCCATAAGCCGACATGTCCCGTTCGGATCAGTGACGATCGAATTCATCAGCATTGTCGTCATCATCGTCAGGTTGCTCCTGCAGGTGAAGACATCGGTTCTGTACAAATGATATCAAGGAGTCTTGATGAACCTGAGTTTGGGGTAACTCCCTTGGCCATTTCATGGGAAATGTAAGGGTTCACCAGTGGGTTTTGGATATGATCGATTTATAATATAACAGCATATATATATACTATATATACGTAGATATAATCATATTATATATTATGTGTATTATGTATAGTGTTATCATACATTATGTATATCTATAAACATATAAACATGTATGTATACATGTGGGGAATGTAATATTCTCACATTCTGGGACATATCAGGATATATATACATATATATATATGTGTATATGTATATATTATCATATTATATCATATGCAAATATATATATATATAATCATATTATATCATATGCAAATATATATAATGGATATCCATTGCCAATTTTGGACAAACCTCAGGAGCTGGTCCTTCTCCTTCTTCAAGAGCGACTCAAGGGGATCGATGCCACCACCTCGGCAGTAGATGCTGGTAGTATCTGGTTATTAAGTTATGAAATGACATGAATCTTGAATGGTATTGACTGATATTCAATGATATTCAGAATCTATCCAGAATCTATCCCCCAAAGCTGGCAACGCGGCTATTGATACCACCTACTGGTGCCAATAGATGTTCCTAGGCATTACGTCAATTGGTGGTACACCCTGGCCAAACTGCACAGATCGACTGAGCCTAATTGAAATGAGGACGAAGGTCGCAGTCGACTAGAAGAGCCGCCAAGGACCATGGCTGGGTCACGTCTCTGGTTGACCAAGTCATGAACGGTCTCTGCCTAGCACGCACGGTCACCAGGATCCTTCGGGTCTCTTGGCAGAGGAAAATCTTGGGTCAAAGCCTCTGATTCATTTGGAATATTCGACTCCAGGCGCATAACACTCAATCTAAGATATCTAAGGGCATGAAACAATAATGTGGTAAATCCGAAGATAAACCTACCATTTCGATCCGTTTCGCATGGTAATTTACCAACCATTTGTGGTCAGATTGGGGATGTGTTTTCTTGGCTTTACCGTTTTACCACAATACATTTTTTACAATTGCACAGAGTTCTAAATACCTGGCCTTCGAAGACTCTGGTTGACCTCCATCATCTTCATCATCGGAAAAGCCTCATCAAAAATTCTGCCGATTGAAACACGCAAACCAACAACACTATCCATCAAAGCCAAAGCTCAAGGAAAGTCTCCTCTGAAGAAACACCACAAAGACTGTCACAAAAAAGCACAAGCACACACCAATGGCTGATGCGATCTGAAGGACATCAACTGTTCAAGGAAGACTTTGCTGCTGAAAGTTTCAACATACGACACCACTCAAATTTACACAACCGTGGGGATCAGCTAAAATTTCAGCTTTTGATTGTCACAGTTTCAAATGCTGGATTCTAAGCAAGTGACCCAAGTCAAATTTTGCTGCACTTTGTGCCCCACGAGTTGGCATGATAACCGCTGAATGACTGAAAACAAAAAGTCTGAATATATTATATATATATATTATTGATTGATTGATTGTTGGTGCAAGGAGCAAGACTCTCCTCTGAGTGAAAATCCATGAAAGTCCTATAGACATCTATAGGCTATCACTTGTGTAGAATGCATCCATGTCCAGCGTAAGAGGCTGCAAATGTCATGGCCAATTAGAACCAAAGCTGCACAAAAAAAACAATCACTAGGACGTTGGGACCTGCAAACAACATGCACAATTGCATCATGCACAAAATGTCCTGGAGTTCTGGCCATGGCATACCTTTTTTCCGAAGGCTTCGACTGACCTGTTCGCTTGATCGCTTCAGATTGGCCAGCTGAAAGTCCTGTTGACTCATTGTCTGCTAAGCGTTTGTGCTCCCGCACACCCACAGGAGCAAAGCGCCACAGGAAGCTCAAAGGAGCTATAAAATACTTGGCCAATGTGGATCCATGATGGAACGCGCTGCAACAAATCTCACTAACGGACGAATTCATTGAATCTGTATACTTCAGGTGCCAGATCAGCTGGCATGCATCATTCAGAAAACTTTCAGCATGACAAAAACATACAAACTACATTGCCAGTTCAGCATTTTTCTTGTTTGCAACACAGCAACATCTGACTTCCAAATGTGCTACTTTGCATCTTTTGGTTGATCCAGGCACTTCTGTGCAGCTTGAAGTGCGGCTTTCAGGCGTCGCTGCCAACGGGCTGGCACTGACGGGGGCTGCCGTGCTGCCCAGGGCTCGAGCTGTGCCCCAGAAACCCAGGCACCATTGGATTCACCACAGAAGTTCACACCATACGGCTCAGAATCCTGCAGCTTCACTGGCCAAAACTGGCGAAAAGAAGCTGAAACATTTTACTATATATTTTGGAAAGGTCGGTGAAGGTTCAAAAGTACCTCCCAAGTGTTCTGCCACCAAATTTCACCAACTAATTCCAAAAATTCCCAAATCTGTGGGTTGGTAGATTCAGAACATATCTGCCCCCTGCCCTACCTGAGGGCCATCGAAACCAATGCTTGCCACCGTGGCTGGCCAGCGAGGTCCAAAGCCGCTGCACCACACCACGTCGCCCACAGCGAATTGCAGTTGAAACCTGGGTCAGCTGATCGGTGAAGCCAACAATGCCAATGGCCCATTTCGATCCATTTGGACACTGTGAGTCTGTTTCACCTCTCAAGGATAGTGATAACAATAGCTAGAAGCAGGAAAAATTGCGAAAAATGCTGCAGGATATTGCAAGCTTGTTTTGTGGATTCCATCCTTTCGAGTCCGAATGTTCCCCACCTCTTGGATAGTTCTGAGGTGCAACCTTCACACGACCTGCCAGGCAAGACTCAGAGGCATCACTTCTGCAAACCGCGAGCCCTGAGGCCCTGAGGCACGGGCATAGGCGGAAGCTTGCTGGGCCCACCACAAACACTGCACCTCAGTATACGGTGCATTGGTCACCATTTGGATGACCATCCTTGGAAGATCATGGTGGCCAGTGAAAACACCTGTTTCAACATTTGTTCAATGAAAATAGGTTGGCGGAGGCACACTTTGTCATCTTTGATTGCCTTTTTGATAGCCATCTTTGTTCGAGTAGCCTGAAGCTGGGCTGAAAACACTTCAAAACACGCGGCATCTTTTCATGCACTCAAGAGGGGGCTTCCACCCTACCATGGCAGGAGGTGGCCACAAGCACTTGACGAGTAGAACACAGTATGTTCGTCATTTCCCATGCGGCATATGTGTCTGGATAAAATATAATAAGACTAGAATTGGATGAGACCTCCCGAACGTTTAGTGTGTTCTGCCTACGGGCGAGCACATCTTGCATCACGTAGTTGGAAGGTGATATCTG